TGAATATGACTGAAAAATTTAATTTTTTCTGAAAAGGTGGTGTCTATTTACTTATGGCCACGCTGTGTACGTTGTCAACCATATTCTATTTCATAGGGGTTTTTCTTAACTGTCAGTGGTCATATTCTGTTTCTTGGAGATATTATCTGTCTAGAACTTCACCCCAGTGGCACAGCGGTACGTCTGCGGACTTACAACGATAGAAACTGGGTTTCGATACCCGTGGTGGGCAGAGCACCGATAACCCCTTATGTAGTTTTGTGCTTAACTTCAAACAAATAAATAGACTTCAGCTATACTACGACCCAGTTACGTATATTTCGTTCTATGACGAATAAAAACAAAATTACTTATAATTTATTACTTTACATAATTATTAGTTACTTTTGATAATAAACTGAATAAATACAAGTACAGATCTCACAATAATATAACTTGGGAAAACAAATGTCTGATCGTCTGGAGTTACACTGATCTGAGCGAAATTTTTCTCACGGTAGCACCTATATTCATGTTAAGGTCACTCGATCGGTTAAACATTTATTTTCCTAAAATTACAAATGTTGTTTACGAGGAAGTTTTATAAACACTTTTCCATCAAAACTTCGATAGTCCTTAGTTTTTGACCGTGGCTAGAAATGCCATAACTTTATATGTTTTGTCGAATGTTGAAAGATTGTTCTAGTACTAGCAGAATAATATAATTTGGGAAAACAGATGTCTGTTCGTCCAATGCGTACGAGTATAAAGAAGAACAATAAAGAAATATGCCAAAACAATAATATTAAAATCGACTGTTATGTACACATGTTAATTTGTGTGTGTACGTTTTGTTAAAACTTAACCAAAAACTTCTTCTATTGCAAAAATTTAAATTAGTTTTTCATTTAATCTTGTTGCATGAAAATAACTAAATGTTTATAGTATCGTTTTATGCTAATAAAGGTTATGTTTTATATTTCAAAGAAAATCACGTGCAATAAGCATGCTTGTTTCCGAGTTTGAAGTGTAATTCATAAAATTTTTGCAAATTAAATATTTTGTTAAGTTTTGAGAATTCTGTTAATAAGTGCACAAACATGGATGACCGATTCCAATTTTTAAAGGGTGTTATAAAGTCATTCTGTTTTTAACAAGTGCATAAACAGGGATAATTAAAGAAAACCTTTGAAGGTGGGGTGAGTACTCATGGTATCAACATTGCCGGAGGTGGTTTTTACTTTTCAAAAACTTCTAGAAAGAGCATATCTTAGCGGCCAAATATTCGTTTTTATATAGTTTTAAAAAGAATGTGAACTGGGTTAAATACCACAATTCTATATATTTCTACATGTTCTTCTAGTATGACAAAAATAACTCACCAAATGTGTAGATTTGTCCTATACAGGCTTTACCGAAACAATCAAACTGTTTCTTTTCATTCCGAAATAGTTCAAATTTTTACTACGCCAATATATCAAGGACATAATATACACCTCCTATGAATAATATGTGGGCTGTTTTATTAAAGCACTAAAACTTACAAGGTGAGAATAATTGAAATAGCTCATCTCTGAATAGTTATTTGTTAAGGGATTTTACACTGTAGTAAAATATTCTTTCGTTACCTTGTTGTAGAAAGACGAGATGAAGCCTTTTCTAGAGCTATTACATTCCGTTTAGGCACGAACCTAGCCACTATTTACGGGTACCTTCATGCCCCATGACAAGTATCGGTAAGCTTTGTTTGTTTTGAATTTAGCGCAAAGCTACACGAGGGCTATCTGCCCCTAATTTAGCAGTAAAAGACCAGAGGGAAGGCAGCTAGTCATCACCACCCACCGTCAACTCTTTTACCAACGAATAGGAGATTAACCCATTGCAACGCCCCCTCCCCCCCTGCTGAAAGGGCGAGCTTGTTTGGTGGGACGGGGATATACATAACGATCGATGTATATAAAATAACTTTTATTCATAAGATACGCTAACTGTTATAATTAACTTTTGCTATTTTTTTTGTAATTATTTTGTAATGGTAATTATTTTCTTGGCCGTCTGTGACCTAAAAGCATCACTGAATCACATGAAATTCACTTATTTTTCCCAGTTTTTTTTCTGTAAAATTAAATTATCTGTTGTTTCCTATGATGGGTTAAAAAAAATGTAAAATTCACCTATTTTTCCAAGTTTCCCTGAAACCATTTAAATACAAGGCTTCTTCAAAGCTAAGATGTACAGGGTCGTAGAGTAAACCCTAAGCTTAAGTAAGCTTTGAAAACTTGTATTTGACAGCTTGACTGAATCTATATTCTAAATTCAACGAGTGTCCATGCAGGTAAAAGTACACACACTGATTTAATGTTGAGCTCCATAATAAAAAATGTTCATCTTGTGTTGATTTTTGTCCTGTCTCTTTATTTCATTTAAAATAGTACGTTAGTAGGAATTATTATTACATAATTTCACACCTTGATCAAATATCTAGTTTTGTGAACTTATAAAGCTAAGCTCAAATCTATATTCAGTGTACATGTTATTGCGAGTGTGCTAATGCATATTTTTTATATTTCTTTATTAAAATGTAATTCTTGTAATTCAAAAGGTATTGTTCTCTCAACAACTAGATACTTTAATAGCTTTTTATAAAAAACATTTCCTTTACAGTACTGTAACACAGTACAAAGTAAACAGTTCAACAAAATTTCACAAGTAAATTTTATTTTACAGATAATTTTTACACCAGGGCAATATTGATCTGTATTTTGCTTCATACAAAAATTATATTTCCTGTACAAAGAATTAGTTAATCTAGAAAAACGAAATAAATGCATAAACCTCTTTCACCAATTATAATCTGGATATCAGGTAATGCTACTGAATGCATTAAACACCCAGTGAATTGCAAAACTGCAATTTTACTCCATTTCGTCCACAGGCTCTTCTTCATCAAACTCGCCTTCATCATCAGCAGTAGCTTCCTGATACTGTTGGTATTCAGATACCAAGTCGTTCATGTTAGACTCAGCCTCAGTAAACTCCATTTCATCCATCCCTTCTCCTGTATACCAGTGCAAAAAGGCCTTGCGGCGAAACATGGCTGAAAAGAAACAAAACAAACAACTTTTAATATTTTACAACATACTGAACAGCTCATTTCTGGCATCAAAATAATTGATGTCTAAAAACTGTCTTTAGTTACTGTCTCAACTACTGCAAGTCTTCAAACAATTATATTTAAATAGCATTTATTTTCTACAGCCTTGTGTTGGTGGCATTAAACACAGTAGTTTCCCCACACAGTGATATTTTTGGTTTGTAAATGTACATATAACAATCAGTACAAACAAAAACAGTTTTTACTCAGATTTAGTTGAAAAGTAATAAATGTATTAAGATTTACGAAAATATTCCCAGATAAATTAACTTGACTGATATACAGACATTTTCTGACCTTACTGATGTGTAGGAAAGATTAAGTAACACTACTCTTCCTTGCAATAGGAGCAGGTCTCACTACACATTTTCTGACCTTACTGATGTGTAGGAAAGATTAAGTAACACTACTCTTCCTTGCAATAGGAGCAGGTCTCACTACACATTTTCTGACCTTACTGATGTGTAGGAAAGATTAAGTAACACTACTCTTCCTTGCAATAGGAGAAGGTCTCACTACACATTTTCTAAGTAGGTATCAAAGTGTAATTTATTGTGTTACAGCCATTTACTTGACTTTTATGATAAACTTAAAAATAACTTTAGTCCTTTTTTAGTTTAATTTTTACTGGAAAATAAAATAAAAATTAATACATGGTATTGTTCTTACTTACACAAAACTTTACACTCTCCCTATTTAAATGTGTGAAACTCTTCAACCTTTTAACTAAATTTAACACTTGGATTTTCTCCACCTTGCAGTTATGTACATTTTAAAATTAGAGATTTGCTGAAATTAAGTAATAAAACTCACAAAAATGAGTAGTAAAGAGCTAAAATAGCAGTACTTAATGCCAGCTATTTAAATATGTTTTCACATTAAAAAATAAATATTTACAAGATGGAGGAATAACAGGTGTTAAATCTAGTTGGAAAACTAAATAACCTCAAATTACTTTGCAATATGTGTACATAAAACACTACACTAAGTCAAAATTCATAAAGACAAAGGTACAGTAATTAGCATTACCTATAATTAAATTAACTGGATTAATGAGATATATAGTGCAAAACTGCAGTTCTAAAGCTGTTTATTGTGTGGATTTTTTTTTATCTAGTGTGCTTTACACGATTTCATGTTTGTCAAATTTGTTGGCATTTTTTCTAATAAATTCAAGTACTGTAAATAACTTGTAGCTACAATGTAGTTGAAATAGACTAGATGTCAAATAACAAATAAAGTATAATTTTCAAACGTAACTAATCAACTTTAAGATATAACACAAAACAAGGGTTATGCTTCAAATATGCCAAAGTCTCATCAGTCCCTAAAAAATACGACTTGGGAATACAGATGTCTGTCCACCGGGATTGCACTTAGCAGAGCCAGATTTTTCCTAGTATCGGATCTACTACTGAGAGTAGGTTAATTCGACTACTTAAATAATTATGTCCCTGAATGTGAAATACTGAAAATGTGTACAAAGTTTTGTAAACAACTTTTTTTTAATATGAATTCCATAGTCCTTACTTTTAGACTGTGGTTAGAAATACCACAGCTCTCTCTTTCTCTTTATACATACACATACATACATACATACATACTATATATATATTGACATATTTCAGCCAGTCCTACTAGCAGAGTAATATCACATGGGAAAATGGAAGTCCATACATACATTGTATATGAATATAAAGAAAAGGAATATAGAAAAAAACAATTATATGTATAGGTACGGCTTACTAAGAGCAACTGTTATAGGTATATGATAATTTTCATATACACGTGTTGTCAAAATTTAACAAAATTTACTTTATTGCAAAATTTCTAAATCTAATTTTGATACAACACAATGGCATCAAAATGATTTTCTAAAAGCAAATTTTCAGTGTTGTTTTTTATTTTATGTTACATTTTTCTATTTTAAAGAAATAGTACATACAATAAGAAAGTTTGAACATGTTTTATTTGAGTTTTGAATAGCTTTGCTGTGTAATTTTCTAAAATTTTGTTTACAAAGCAAATGTTCTGTGGAGTTCTGAAAAATCTGTTAACGCATGCAAAAACTTGGACGACTAATTAAAATCTTTATAGGTGAAGTGAGTATTTGTAGTGTGAACAATGCCAAAGATTATTTTTAGTTTTAAAAGAGCTTTTAGAAATAACTTATCTTAGTTGCCAAATCATTAATTTTGTATGGTTAGATAAGAATGCAAATCGAGTGAAATATCACAATTCCCTATATACTGTCGAATTTTGACATGTTCTACTAATTTAACTATAACGAAGAAAACCTTTACCTGTAAACTGTTCTGCTATTCTCTTGAAAATTTCTTGGATAGCTGTGGAGTTCCCAATGAAGGTAGCTGCCATCTTGAGCCCACGAGGTGGGATATCACAAACAGCCAGTTTAACATTGTTAGGGATCCACTCAACAAAGTAGCTATCAGAGGAAAAATGTAACTGTATGAGATAACTTAAATACCACATCATCTAAAAATATCCAATGATGGGATCACAAGCTGTCATCATAATTTTGACATTAAACAGTTCCATCCTAATTTTAAACCATTTTTAACAGACTAAAAGCAAAATAATGAAAGATTATCTTAAAATCTAATACTTTCATTAATAAAAGTATTAATAATTAACATAAAAGCTTTCCATCCAAAATTAATATCTCTATCAACATTAATAAATAAAAACATATTATTGGCAGGCAGCCTAGTCACCATAGAGTTGAGACTACATGGTTCACGTATATCTATGGTCTTTAATTCATTAACCAACATTACATTGATGATGTCCCCCCCACCCAACCATCCTAAAATGTAGAACCTTAGCTTAATCCTAACAATTTAAAAATTGAATATAAAAAACTTAAAACAGGTGACAAACTACATTACGTACAACAATGAACAAAGACTCAGTTATTTAAAAAAATCAAAACTCGCCACTATAGCAGTAAACCGGTTTCATCCTAATTTTAAAGTTTACAGCTTTCAAATAGAAACTGAGCAAATTATCAAGACAATGTTTAACAGTAAATACAGACTTAAAGTTGACAGGTAATAAGAATTAGTACTTGTACAAAATGTAGGATTACTTCAGAATAACAGAAAAAATAAAAAATTCTTTCATGAATTTAACTAAGTAGCATAACCAATTGATAGCATAGAGATACTCATGGAATATTATCTATTTAATAAATCTTAAGCACATAAACAATTTACAATACCTGCTGTTCTTATTTTGTATATTCCACATCTGCTCATCAACTTCTTTCATGCTCATTCTTCCCCGGAACATTGCAGCAACTGTCAGATATCTACCATGACGAGGATCACATGCTGTCATCATGTTCTTGGCATCAAACATCTAAAAGGTATATGAATATTAATAAGATTGGAAAATTACAAAACAATAAAAGTTGAGTTGAAAAAAAAAAGTTTTTTTTCCTTCAAATGACAGCTTCTTTCTAGATTGGAACAGCAGCATGAACAAAAAATGTACAATTCAAACCATTAAAGCTACTTATTAATGCTCAATGATATTCCTTGCAATTGTTTTACACAGTTTTCATCTCTACTTTTGGATTCATACATAATGCTGACCAAAATAGTATGCATTTTGTGTTTGAGTACTTAGGTGTACTAATTAAAATTTTCAGTCACCATGTAATTTGACTTTCAGTTTTGAGTTTCTTCTATTTATTTGTAAAAAACCAAGATAAATATCTTATTCTTTAAAAAATACCCCCCCCCTCAATTTGACAGTTTATCTTACATTATCTTTTGATTTTACGTATATTTAAGTTAACTTAAATTATCATGAAAATATTTGCTTTTTGAGGAATCAGACATAGTTATTAAGTTTCAAGTAAAATAAAAAACAAACTACTGCTTAAAGAAATTAAACTTTTCACACATAAGTAACATTTTCAGTAAAAAGTATAGCCAACTAAACTATATAGATAGTGACTGTAAACTGATTAATAAAATTAGAGTTAATCATAAAAAATAAACAGAAAATTATTACATTTAAAGATATTACTAATGTCAGAATACAATGTTTTAAACATGACTTACATTAAATTATTCTGTTAATTACTTCACATAACTGTGCTTTAAAATTTATCAGAGATAAATGTTTAATTACACCTATAATTTTTTTGCTTGTTTAAGATCTAACCTGTTGCGTCAATTCTGGAACTGTTACAGCACGATACTGCTGGCTTCCTCTTGAGGTTAGGGGAGCAAAGCCAGGCATAAAAAAGTGTAAACGTGGGAATGGCACCATGTTAACAGCAAGTTTGCGAAGATCTGCATTCAACTGGCCAGGAAAACGAAGACATGTGGTTACTCCAGACATTGTGATAGACACAAGATGATTCAAGTCGCCGTAAGAAGGAGAGGTTAATTTGAGTGTTCTGAAGCATATATCATAAAGGGCTTCATTGTCAATGCAGAAGGTTTCATCAGTGTTTTCAACAAGCTGGTGAACTGACAACGTGGCATTATACGGTTCTACTACCGTGTCTGAAACCTGTAAAATAAGGCAGCACTTCAAGTTTCACAGTTCTTTTTGAATAACTCTTATTACTTAATATTGTTTTTGAATTTGTATTTACATATTAAAAAACATATATACTGTTTTATAAATGGGGTAAGTTAAGCTTCTCAGTTTATTTTTTCTGAAGTTTGCAAGGAAAATGGACTCCTTCCAATATCAACAACAAAATATAAATAAATTCAAAGGAAAATAGATAATTTCACTTTAGGAAATAAACAAGCTCCTAATTAGAGTTGTTTTTAAGCTTTCTAAGGTATTTATGGGAACTTTAATATATTTTTAAATGACAAAATATAAACATTTATGTTTCATAGAAATAAAGTTTCTTTATCTCTCACCTTTGGGGATGGGAAAACGGAGAAAGTGGTCATGATACGATCAGGATATTCTTCTCTCACTTTGGAAATAAGCAAAGTACCCATGCCAGAGCCAGTGCCACCTCCAAGTGAGTGTGCAAGCTGAAATCCCTGTAAACAGTCACAACTTTCAGATTCTTTCCTGACAACATCCATCACGTTTTCTATCAGCTCTGCACCTTCAGTGTAGTGACCTTTTGCCCAGTTATTTCCTGCACCAGACTGACCTATAGCAATAAGTTGGTAAATAAGTACAAAAACAAAATAAATGAAGAAATTTCTCTCAACTTGAACTACAGATATTGTTAACATTTTATAAAATGGGATTTTATTTTTCTTTATCTACATACAAGAAAAACATTGTTGGGAAACAGACAAAAGTCAAACAAAACTTTGTACCTTACGTTATTCAGTAAGCAGAGAAAATTAGAGTACAATAACTTCCTAGTCATTAAAAACTATGACTCCTGCCTTCAACACAAAAATCATGTCAATTAAGTACATTAACATTTTACAGCAGGCTTGTGCAATTTGCAGAAATCGAGTCACGAATTTCAATTACAACAATACCTACAGTAACTGAAATTTCTTAACATATCCTCTCAAAACTGGTAAGATTTTGTTAAAGATCATAAGTATCTTGTACACAAAGAATGACATTATTATAATTAAGTTTTTACAAAAAATGTTATTTTTTTTATTGTATTTACTTGCATTCAAATTATTAACATATTGAGTGCAAGGTGATTTTCATTTTAAGTATAAAATAATTTTCATATTTCATTTGCATAATTTCTAGAATCTTCTAAAAGAGAAAAGTTTTTTTAAAGCAAATGTTTATATTTTATTTTTCATTTTCTTCACCATATCACTAACCTATTATCATCAATATACAATGCAATGTAACAATTAAAATTAGGAAATAGAAAAAAACAATACATATCTTTTAATTATTTGTAGAATATTTTTAAAGATTTTTCCTTTTGTTAAATTCATAATTTCAGGTCTTGTCCTTTACCACTTATTCTTCATCTTGACACAAGTCAACAGTGCCCTCGAGGCATATTAAAGTTTATTTTTGAAACATATAACCCTTTGGCAAAAGTTTATTCAGCGTGTAATATCATAAGACTTGAGAACTGATGCAAAATTTTATGTACATTTAAAAAATGTTTAAACCTTTTGATTTTGCATTTTAAAACATAAATAATACACAATTAACTAAAATATAATAGTAAGACCTAAATACAATTTAAATTGTATCACTAACTATAACATATTTAGGTAAGGGTTATAGATGATCACGCAGCCAACAATATTACAGTCAACAAGACATACCCCTTGCTAACAACTGCATGCCAATTTCAAAATAACCAATGTTAGATTATGGTGTAAAATGAGCTCTTTCTATAATTATACACATGTGTGTGGCATCTACATGTAGGCTATAAAGCTCAAAAAATCTGTTGAGGGTGGAGGTGGCACCTGTCAGGAGTTGAAAAAATTTATTATTTGTTTCTAATGTAATCATTCAGAGAATTTTGAAATCAATGAGTCAAAAGATTATGTAAGCAACTTATTGTCTAGACGTACTTCTAATGAACTACCATTGTATTATTCAAGATACAGAGAGCCAAATAGAAAATTTTCATAGCTTGTTGGTCACATGACAATACATCTAGTTTTTTTAAGTAGTTTTATAAAGGTTTATTTTGAAATAAAGGACTTAAAACTCGGATAACATAAAACTTTGAATCATAATATACAAGATTATATTAATTTCATTCACACATATATTGATAGTAAAGGTGTTTAATTAAATTTTGAATGTAACAGTGACTTGTGCAGAAAAGTGTTTAAAGGGACTCCACATACAAAAGAGTTAAGCAAGTTTGATATAATGTGTTTGGTGTTAATAGGTAAATTCTGATCATGTGTTATGAAGTTGAGGTAGTTGTACTGATGTGGTACTATAAGGGTTAAGTTTAGGTGATTTTCTGGAAAAATTATTTCCGTCCACTTTTTTTACAACGTAAATTAGAAATTTTTAAAATTATTTCCCAACATTTTTCAGGCAACTGGAATGAAATATCTAACAAATATCATGAATGGCATTAACACTTACCAAAGATAAAGTTATCTGGTCGAAAGAGCTGTCCAAAGGGACCAGATCGAACAGAGTCCATAGTTCCAGGTTCCAGATCAATTAAGATGGCTCTGGGAACATACTTGCCACCTTTAAAAAAAAAGTTAATGCTCTGTTAAATCCAGTTATAGTTTTGTTAGTTATGACAAAATAATAGTCACTAATATCTAGGTCAGAAATCAGTTTAAAATCACATTTACCACTTGACCTCGACATGTACTGGAAAAAATAAATCATGATTCACAGCTGATGAATATAGTTGTTTCTTCTGAGTTAAGGTGCTTAAAATATTATAAATAAAATGAAAATAATGTAATAATGAAAATATTAAAGGTTTTATAAATCAGGCTTCACAAAGACCACACAAATAGCTGTATACCTACTGAAATTCATTATTTGAATCACAGACTCCTTTGTTTTGCTAGACCTGCTACTACTACTGTTATTGTTGTTGCTATATTATTAGTATTGATTAGTGTTTCTATTGATGGTTTACAGTTCATGATGCTGACTAGTAAATCTCACTATCTAAGCACCAAATCCAAATTGGTTAGGTTTAAACTAGTTCAAGTAAATGATGTGTGGAATGAAGCTAAGCTTACGGTCAAAGATAAGCCCCAAGAACTTTGCCTCAGGGACCACACGAATAACTATATCGCCGAGACGGAGCTCGGGATCGGGGTAGATACTCCGTTGGCGGAAAAAATGCATGCAAACGGTTTTGGAAAAAGAAAATTTAAAACCATTTGCAGTGGTCCATGTCAACAACCGATTGAGGGCAGTCTGAAGCTGCCACTCAATAAACCTCATGTTCGACGACTGACACGAGATGTGGAAGTCATCGACATAGAGCCCATTTGCAACAGTCGGAGAAAGATTTGTAGTGATGGCATTAATTTTAACACTTAAAAGTGTGACACTCAAGACACAGCCCTGAGGGACTCCAAGTTCCTGTGGAAAGGAACGGGAAAGAGTTGAACCCACACGGACTTCGAATCGCCTGTTCAGTAAAAAGTTGTGAATAAAAATGGATAAATGGCCATGCAACCCATAGAAGTGGAGGTCCTGCAAAATTCCATACCTCCACGTAGTGCCATAAGCCTTCTCATGATCGAAGAACACAGAAACAAGATGTTCTCTCTTGAGAAAGGCTTCCCTCATCGACGGAACCCACACTGGGTGGGCGAGAGGAGCATGTTTGATTCCAGGAACCAAACAAGACGAGCATTAACCATCCTCCCTAGGACCTTACAAAGGCAACTAGTCAAAGCGATGGGACGATAATTAGAAGGAATCTTGGTATCCTTCCCAGGTTTAGAGAAAGGAAGGAAAATAGCCTGGCACCAAGCATCAGGAAAAACATGCTCCTGCCAGATCTGGTTAAAAATAACCAGAAGAATAGCAAGAGAGGCAGGAGAGAGATGGCGCAACATCTCATAATGAACATCATCAGGTCCGACCGATGAAGAGCAAGTTTGAGTTCCACCACTGTAAAGGGGTGATTATAATCATAGAGACGATCGGCCCGAAAGGAAAGAGGTGATCGCTCTGCCTGAGACTTTATGGCCAAAAGGCAGGGGAAGAAACAGAAGTGCTAGAAGCATGAGAAAAGCTTTGGCCACGAGTATCGGAAATGCTCTGGACATCAGCAGCTTCCTGGCCATTGGAGAGCAAGATGGAAAGCGGATGGGAAGCATACCTCCCAGTGACTTTCCGAATCTTGTCCCGTACAGTTTTGGAACTGGTGGTAGAAGAGATGCTAGTAGTGAACTTAATCCAAGACTCCTTTTGGCTTTGAGACATCGAACCTGCCGAGCATGGGCCCACTGATAAACAATGAGGTTAGAAAAAGAGGGATACCGTCGGAAGGTATCCCAGGCCCGTTTTTGAGCCTGCCGTGCCTCCTGGCAGACAGGACTCCACCATGGACGAGGATACCATGGAAAACGTGTCGAGGTCTTAGGAATAGAATGAACAGCCGCCTGGACAATACAGTCAGTCACTGCCACCACACAATCGTCTATTGATGGCAGACAGATGAAGGCAGGATCAAGTTCAGAGAGAGAGAGAGAGGTGAAAGATGGCCAATCAACCTGGTCCAGCTTCCACCGTGGCACTCGGGTCGGGTGGCACTGACCATGGCCAACCTCTCTCAGTATGATAGGAAAATGATCACTGCCCCGTGGATCACTGTTGACCATCCAAGAAAAGCGAGTGAAAAGTGCAGGGGACCAAATCGAGAGATCAATCGCAGTAAAAGACTGACTAGGTGCATGAAAATAAGTTCATGTTCCAGTATTGAAGAGAGAAAGGTTGTGATCCGAGAGCATATGCTCTATGGAACGATCCCTCCCATCAATATCAGCACCACCCCAGAGGGGGTTGTGATCCGAGAGCATATGCTCTATGGAAAGACCCCTCCCATCAATATCAGCACCACCCCAGAGGGGGTTGTGATCCGAGAGCATATGCTCTATGGAATGACCCCTCTCATCAATATCAGCACCACCCCAGAGGGGGTTGTGTCCATTAAAGTCTCCAAGAAGTAATAAGGGAGGTGACAACTGATCAACGAGAGCATCAAGGTTCGATTGATCATAAATTTCCCCAGGAGACAGCTAGAGAGAACAAACAGTGATGGCACAACCCAAGGAAACACGTATGGCTACGGCCTCCCAGGGTGTATCGAGGGACACAGATATGGAGGGCACATGCTGGTCGACCAGCAGTGCTACCCCTCCGTGTACCCGCCCATCACACAACCTGTCATTCCGGTACAGAGAAAACTGCCAAAAGGTGACTGTATCAGCAAGTTTCAGAAATGTTTCCTGTAAGGAGACATACGGAATGATAGGAGTCAATCAAGGTCTTAATGTCATCAAGATTAGAACGAAAACCTCGACAGTTCCACCGTATCAAATTTTGTTAACAACAGCTTACTAATTTAAAATTTATAGCATGAAAACCATAAGAAGCCCAAAATGGTTGTGAGGTCCGTCCCAGGGACCGAGCCTGTGCTGAAAGAGTTAATATGTGAAACAATTAATTATAATACAAAATTTTTGAAGAATAATGTTGTTGCTAATACCAGTTCCAAATCTAATAGTAAGAAAAGAAGTGAATAACCACAATTTGCTAATACCTATAAACGGTAAGGCCAGCAATTAAATATCAGATAGGAAAAAATTAAGAATTTATAAACAAATATTTTACATTCTCTTGTTGTTGTAGTGAATGAAAGGTGATAACATTACAAACATTAAAGTCAATTATTTATAATTCATGTGTATTATGTAATTTACAATCTATAAAACTTGATCTTTTACAAAAACTACCACAACTACACACAATTGACAGTATACCCTTTGCACATATTCTTAGATATAAAAAAGACCAGAAGTTCAACTGTTTAGCATTACTATGTTTATAACCACTTAGAAATCATTTCATCCACAAAATCTACAAGAAAACAAAAACATATTGATGTTTATCACTATCTTTTAGATGCTTTTATACTTACTTAGGTCTAGCTATCAACATCAAATACTAGCCTTGCATATTAACTCAGAACAGCATCTATATACTTAAACAATTATCAAAATGAAACTATAAATACTCACTAAACACACAAGTAGATACAAAAAAGTATACTTATAATTCACAAATATTTTAATAAGGAAACAAACTAGTTTCTTCACAAAATAGCAATACACATAAAGATCTTTTTAATGACACTACATAACCTAATACACCCCACCACTTATTTTTCAGGAAATCAAAAATTACCCTTTTAATCTGTAAAGTTCTGGCCTCCGCTCTACTGTAATAACCCAAACACTGTGTTCCAACAATCCAATAATCAAAATATTGCAAGTATAATTTTTCTTTATTATTTTCAATTAGTTCAAGTTTGTTCAGCTTAATCAATTAGTCATAACTCAAGAAAATAATCAACTTCTTTGATACCTTAAGTGAATTATCCAATACTATGCAAAAGATCATTTTCCTCTGTAACAACATTAAGAGAGTTCCCATCTATATTAAATGGGATTAAAATTATAATTAATCCAAACCATTTGTTAATACTTCAAAATCCTCAATACACTACAAATATACGAGTTTAATTTACATGATTTACATGAATAATACTGTAAGAGGCATATTAATAAAGGCCCAAGCACTAACCCATAAAGTACTACTAGTAACAAGGGTCAATGATGAAATTAAGTTGAATGGATGTCACCTACCTGTTGTAAAAACATAAGTGTAGAGGAGAACATTTTGAAAGTCTTCTACTGTTTCATCTTCAAAACTTGTGTTTCTACAACAGGCAGTTGCTGTCCATTCAACTAAATTTCATCAGGAATACTCTGCCTAAATAATCTATCAAAGAACAAGGGTCCAGTTTGACTGGATTCGATTTTTAAGAACCTTTTGCTTCCTCCAATCCAACATCCCTATATTTTTTCCAACCCTTTCTGATGTAGCATTCTTGGCTAATCTTTTGTGTGACACCTTATCAAACTCTTTTCGAAAATCTATTTATGAAAATACAACACCTTTTCCACCCTTCTGATAACAAGTAATATCCTTGAAATAATATAATAGACTCCCAAGGCAAGAATTCCCTTTGGTGAATTCATATTGGCAATAACACATTAATAACTCTTTCCTTGATAATACAATACATTTAACTTTAGAAATATTACCTTATTATAATCAGTGTAATGTCCTTAGTCTTAAACTGGGTTAATAATGAACCTTACCTGAAGCTTCATTATAGTAAACATTAATTCTCTCTAACTGCAAGTCAGAATCACCGTGATAGGTTCCAGTTGGGTCAATACCATGTTCATCAGATATCACAGACCAGAACTACAAAACAAAAGAATACATTTGTTGGCTTTAAAGAAAGAGAAAATAATAAATTTTATATTGTACACTCATAATTTACAGACACTAAGCACAAAAAATATGTTAAGAATAGACTTATTTGCTATACACATTGATTGGAAAGGAAAAACAATTTTCAAAATTCTGAAGTAATACCAAACACAGTAAATAATAAATTAAGCTTTCTCAAGATTTGTACTCTTAGACAGAGTAGCACTAAATTATACATACACACACACAGCTATTGCAGTACACAAGCATACGAAAGCACCAAAACTTCAAGTTCCAGTAATTTAAGTTTTCCTATACAATACAGTAAGATGGCTTTTGAAGCTCATATTGTTATTGTTTTTTTTTAATAATAACAGGCAGGTGCAGCTCATACAGGAGGCTTAGTCTTTCCAAATAAGCCATCACTCAGAGGTCATTATTCTCACTGACTCAAAAAATATTATTCAATATACGTGTGGAGAGAGGGATAGTCCGAAAGGTCAAAAGAAAGTGTATGCGAGTTACTGAGGAAAGTTTATTTATTTAGGAGAATGAGCTGATTCCTCCCAATTGTGCAACCCTCTGTAACCTGTAATTTATATATATATATCCAATATCTGGTTCATCCCCAATTCTATCCGAAACCACACGTCTATTGTGTATACAAGTTTCTTGCCAAAACAACATCAAATCCAGTTGATATCCTAATTTGCTTCTAGATTATTATACTTCATTAGATATTGATACAGAAAATCCACAAAATAATCCACATTATTCATCCCTAACTGCTTTGGCCCTATCATAATTTACAGATATGTTTAGATTTGTAGGTCTAAGAAGCATTTTTCAACTACAGCAACTATATAAGTTATCAAAATAACGAAGTAAATGTAGACCCAACAATGTCATGTTTTCAGACAAATCAAATTATTATTAAAAATATCAAGATGTCTTTCTTTTTTAGTTTTTGGTTGGTTATAACATAGGCTTCATGAATAAAAATGTTTTCTTTAGAAGTTTTTAACACAATCAAATAGTATGTCTTTAATGAAATGATAATACATCAGAACTATTAAACAAGTATTCTTCACCACCGTATTGGCTTTCACTAGAGCTGAGTGTTTCATCAATTACATACAAGCATTGATTAGTGTCATATAAAACAATTAACTAATCAAAATTAGTGTTTAAAATTATTACTGCTTCAATTGTTTCAACTATCCAAGTAATCAAAATATTGCTACTATTTTTTATTAATTCAAAGTTGTTCAAATTAATCAATTACCATCATAATTCATGAAAATAAACTAACCAATTGAAATTAGTGTTTCTAGTTACTGTTTTTGATTATTCTTACTATTCGTGTTTCACATGAAAATAATCAATTAATAAACCCAACGATAAATTATAAAATGGCACTAACCATTTATCTCTATTTTCACCATTACTTATCAAGTAATACAAAACATTTTGTAAAGGTAAAATTATGTAGAGATGGTAGTGCCAAAAAAGAATGCAAACAAGAATATAGGGATGATACAGCAATACATAGATCATCCTACATGACTTTCAATATAAAAATGTAATGTTACACTGTAAAATGCACAAGTAAAAAATGGCTATAAGTTTGGTCAATTTGACTGATCTCGTAGTGAGAGTCTGAAATAATCAAGACATGATTTAACTTAACTTGGTTTTTCTTGTACACAACTCCTAGGCTCTTAGTTACACTACATTAATGCCTACACTGACATGACCATGATACTATGACAAACAAACTGCATATCAACAGTCAGGAATATATAACTTACAACTGCAGTAATATTAAAGTCAATTATGCATTTTTCCCCTGACTGAAAGTTAGTGTATTCTATGAATGTGTGTAATATAGTTTACTATTAAGTGTATTTTTTTTATTCCTTCATACATAATATAGGGGTTGGCTCCCTAAAAACACCAATTGTATAGTGTACAAATCATTGAGTATTCTATACATTACAGTCATCTATTATTGGCTGGTAATTCCGGTTTCACCCTGTACTTAAGCTTTTTAAAGAAACACCAGATTTCTGTAAGAAAGCTAACTTCAAGAGGTAATGATAACATATTTTACACTAGAATTAAAACTTTTTTTATAAATTTCGACTAAGTGATGACGTTGTTCACTGCCCAGAGCGGATTCACGTTTAAACTGATGTTAGTGATAAAGTAGCTGTAGAGCTATCTCAACTGAAACAAGAAGGAAGATGAAAAATTTGGTGGGTTGGTCACTTTCTGGTTTGGTATCTTAGTGATGGTTTCTTGCCTTGGTTTGGGTAGAAAAACACATGAAGGTAAGTGGCAATCAGTTTTTAAGGTAAAACTCTGTCACTGTTGATTTTTTAGCATGCATATTTGTATTATGCCTACTGAGTACCTTGGCCATCCCTAAATATATAGTCTACCACCTCTATCATACTATCCTGAATGAGCAAAACTAAAGTTATTAACAGTCCAATACCTGATATGGTCAAACACACGAATTTCCAAGCAAAAAATGCAGATCGGGAATATTTAGTACTACTTCGCAAATCCTTAATTCTATAAGAGAGTTAGTTGTTGTTTTTTGCTCCAAATTTAGTAGAATAATAAAACTGAAACAGTAAAGAATCATTGTTAGTAAAATAATACATGATTATTAATATTGGAGTATAAAAAAATTGAGATGGACAGTTATTTTGTACAAATGTAAACAGAAAAGATATTTCTAATTTTAATGCTGGCTGCCAACTAGATGTTGCAATTCCAAAGCTTGTTCTGAATTCTGGGATTTTAGTGGCTCAAATTCCAAGATTACAAGTTTTATTTATTTACATCATTATATTTTGGTTTAATAAAAAGTATCTGTATTCCTTTTCTAATTCAAATAATAAATCTTTGTCAGAGAGTGGTGTTTTTTTTTTACTTTATAGCCAGAAGCAATGACTTATAATAATCCAAATGAAGCACCAATAGAAATATCAATATTAATCTAGTTAAAACTGACTGGATGAATAAAATGGAACTTTCTAATCAACAATAAAAAAAACCTAAAATTTTAAGATGACAACAAGCATTTTAACTATTTTTAATGCTTTCTCTAAACATTGTCGACCAGCAAGATTTTGGAAATTTGATAACCTAAAATATGATAGAAATACTAAACCAATTTATAAAAAGTCTTAAAGCCAAAACCAAATACTATATAGTATGTTTGTCCAAAATTTCATTCAATTTGGTTAAATACTGCCACTGTAAGAACAAAAAAATCATTAGGGTGGGATGGGGGTATCAGTGACACACCTGTTATCAAAAAAGGATTAATATAATTCCTGGAATTTGATCCCAGGATTGCAACCCTCACCTCCAACAGCTCCATCTAAAGATATCTCCAAGACTACACAAACTCACACAAAATAGCTTAATTATGTAATTTACTTTTATTCACTATCAATGAAACACAATGATATATTTGAAAAACATTAAATAATGAATCACACAAGCACATGCCTACATTTTCTCTATAACAATCCCTATTGTACAACTACCTTAAATAAAAATATTTAAATAATTACTAACTATTTTTTCCAGTCAGCTACTCACCAAAAAAAAAAAAGCCATAACTGTTATGAAATATAAGAAAATTAACAATACATATTTTTTATTTTACTCACTATTATACAAACATCTGGCAAAACAAAAAACCTTATGAATCTTGAATTATTCCAAAAAGACAAGATATAAGGTTTCACAAAATCTATTTACTCAAAGTTTATGAAAAAATATAAGTTACTGAGTCACAAGACTAGAGGAAAGTATATATTGACTTAATATACTTCACAATGGCGAAATTTTCAAACTAGGAATTTCAAAGCTTTCAAAACACATATAGTCACATTAGACTGAAAATGAAATATACAAATAACATTGCTAAATATTTAGTTATTCTCTTGAACTGAGAACACAAATAAATTATATATGATGTATATATCCAGAAAATATATGCAACAGTTGATATAAATTAAAATAGGTCAACAAAACCAGTTTATCTGACATCACAGGCCCAAGTGCTTAAGTACAGACTTAAAAGGACATAGCATACGGTTGAACGCCTCTCACAAAAACAGGTCTTGTCTTCAGACCATATCAGGACATTCACCAGATCTTAGTTCAAAAATGTTTTAGTCCTATCTTAGTTATGTGTATTTGGCTAAAAAAAACTTGAAATCCAGTGTACTTTACAAGCTCTAAATTCAGTATGAACATGACAAGTACAAGTTATGTAGTATTACACTAAACAATGAATAAAATACACTACTCTTAAAATCCACATCAAAATCTTTGAATTAGAATTATGACAGAAATTTTGCAAATTTCTATACAGATTCTAGTAGTCACAATTTTAATGTTAAAACAACAATGAAAAAAGTACATTGAAAAACTGATTTTTAAAATACAGAAATCCACTGTAAAATCAATTTCATGATAAATAAATATCCAGGTAATAAACATTATAAATATGTTTTCTGAACTCTAGCAGAGCACACAAATGGAGTAAGCATAGAATGAAACTGGAAAGAGATTTCACCTCTGATGGCCACAAAGAACTTACCTTTGTTGCAGGAAGGAATAGAAAAAGCGAGGGAAAACAGGTAGGCAAATACCACGCAACATACATAGGCTAACACCATACATCTGTTCATAAAAACAGCAAGATTATACAGTAACTTTGCTTCACAACAAAAATAGCACATAAAAAGACACAAAACAAGTTACAAATTTATACCACTAATTCATATTTCAGGAGAAAGAAAAAGCCCACAGGAAATCCTAGGTTAGTTAAAAATCTTGCTTGCATAAATTTACTAATAAAGTAAGAAACACATAATTATTTATTTTGTGATTTTAATCATAGTTATTTTATACTTTACTTGAATAAATTCCCATATTTTACAGGTTCTTATTTAACAGCACTAATACAAAAATCTTTGAAATACATTAAATATACACAGGTATATAGATACAGGTGGACTATAGTTTCTTTTTGCATTCAACATGTATATTAGTAGAAAAAAAGATGTACACAAATGAGGTAATGATTCCAGCGTGTGCAGGACTTGCCACTTTGAGGAACCCTTTAATTCTAAGTAATATTACCTCTGATGTTAGTTCCTCTACACATAAGCTTAAAAGGGTTGTCAGATGTATCAGTTTATTCTTGGAATTCTTCTCCAAGATGGCTTAACTCTTGTATAGTTTTCCCATAGCAATGAGTGTAAAGTATTCATGACTGAGGTGTTCAAAATTCATGTAGTATAAGGACCTTTCTTGATCTTGTGAAGTTTTCCAGAGGCATTAAACGTTCATGTATACATGTAGTATTTGTAGTACTATTGTACTATTGCTACTTTATTTTCTGTCAGTGTCAGGATAACTGACTAAGTAATTATTTACATGCAGGTGTGAAATTCTGCCAGTATTCAAGGTACTGAGTAAAAGAAGTTATTTTTAAGTCGTTACTTATTTGAGTTGCTTTGTCGTTTTTTTTTTATGTTTACGCCCACATGTTTTCTTTTTAAAAAACGTGTTTACTTCACCCAGATGAGTATCTCTAGTTTTGTTTTTGAATTTGAGAATTTCACCCCAGTTTACACATGTCATGTATTGTGGGCCCAAAGGCTAAAGTAAAAATAAAGTTACTCAAATACTGGTAGTGTTATTGTGAGCTTAAGCTTTGCATTTCATTTCTAGTCTTTATATTACAGTATAAAGTAAATATCTTTACATTTTAATCAGCTATACTCAACCAGTCTCAAAGTTTCAGTGAGAGTTCTAACTTGAAGTGGGTGGGTAGCTACTTCTAAGTTCTATGACTTTAGTCTGAGTTAAAGAGCGCCTCAAGCTCTAATACTTTTAACCAAGATAATTAAGATTAATAATAATAGTAATGCTCAAAAAGAGTTAAAACAATTACATTTAAAATTTAACTAAACACTTGGAATTAATAGTATTAGTATTACTACTACTAGTAGTAGTACTAGATTAGAACTAGACCCTAACGTTAGACAATGGGGCAGTGCCTTTAGAATTAGAGAGTATTTTTAACACAGTATATATATATATATATATATATATATGAGTAATTACCTTTGATCCTATCTGGTTTCCGCACTGTCCAGCTTGTATGTGTACAATTTCCCTCATTATACTTTTGTAGTACTGACGTTAACAGTTCAAAACTAGTACTTTAACTTTCAAGGAATATGACTTGATATCTGCTCTTCCTTCCAACATTAACAGATCTGAGCAAAAACGGGTCATACAGCAGTTTGAAATACTCAAATCACGTCGTCATCATTATCATTTGATCTGTGCATGTCCAGCCAATTACATTGCTCGTTACGTAACAACATAAAAACCGGTTCGCTTGCAGAAGTTCGCTTCCAGTGTTCAGTTTTTATGTACTAGTCGAATTGAAATATAGGTATTAAATAATCGTGGGATCTCGATTTCAGTGTTTATCTTAATAACTGACATTTCGATTATTCGCTCAGCGCTAACTTACAAAAAAATTTAAGGTCTAGGGCGGATAATAAAAACGTTTCTCATACTAGTTTAAAAGTTTCTATTTATTTATTCAAGCAAAGGCTCTCGTTATTTTGTACATTAATTGTTTCATTCGACTCGTGATAATAAGTTTGCATATCGTTTCTGAGTCTTTGAGGAACTTACAGCAAAACCTAGCACCAGATATTTCAAATATTTAAGTTGGAATGGCTCTCTTAGTAAGAAAAGTTCAAATAACTATAGTATTGTTACGACAGCGGAGGTAACGTGATCCTAGTAACACGTCATGCGCTTCTAGAAAATTCATGTCCCTTCTTGAAGCCTCGAGAGGCTACTAGATATGCGGTATTCTTGTATATATAAGACCGCCAAGAAGTGACGGCAACAATGGAATGTAATTGAACTGCAGACAGAGATAGAGACGGACAGTTGAGTCGAGCACGTCGTTCATTGTGAATTATAGCGTTTGTTATAGCGTGACTGTGGAAATTAAGTGTATTGCAAAGTTGGATTCAGAAAGAATAAACCAGTTTTAATTAAGAAAGGACTTGTATCGCTAAAGTTTCTTCGGAAAGAATTTTTATGGAAAATTAACTAATGACCAGAGACGTAACAAATTGGTGTCAGGAGTGGGATAAAAAAAAAGGAAACGAGAAGCGGCAAATCCAACTACAGCTTAGCAAATTTGATGGCAACAATACAAGAGCAGAAAAAGAAACAAGAAGAGAGACACCAGCAGTTGCAAGAAAAC